ATAACAATCATTCCCTACCTTGAGTGATCTCCAACCCTACGAGCGATTATTTGGTTATCTAATCCGCGTCTATGCTGAGGGTTTGACAACTAAGAAGTTACCCATTAGTTTAGAAATTTCTCTGTCACACCCTCAATATAGGTAATGAAAATGATATTAATCAATGCTTTAGTATGTATCATATTGTTGTATTTCTATCGGAAAACCCTCTTTCCTCTTAAGGAGCCCTTGTTATTGCCGTATATTGTAACTACGTAAACGAAACATACTTTATGTCATTAATTTATCTTTGACAAATCATTTTTGAAAATAAAACCATATGTTGTCGACATTTCGTGAAAGAAAGGTAAAAGTAGTGTACACATACGAACTCTGGACCTTTTATTTGTATACTGTCTTTCTGACCATCCGAGCTACATAGTCAGCAGACGGGTCCTGGCCAAACTGTACTACTAATATATCCAAAACAAATTGAAAGGAGGGTTACTGTACTGTATTGAAAAGTGCATTTACATTGGAATCCTTAAATTGTAAGTTTGGGTAAGATATATAAGGTATAATGAAGCGTATATTTTGGAGACGCATTTCCTTCACTGCCGCTGGATAGAACGTGCCGCAATAAGTAACAGTGTTTAGACTCCATCGTGTAGCTGATTAGCAGCGCGTGCTATATGTCGTACACTTATAATTTATAAGGCAATATGTAACACGTGCAACTATCTCAATTTTTTTCAAACTTTTAGGAAGTTAATTTGATAAGTATGTACGTGTGTTTGGGGATATTCACATGCTTATCTTTTTTATCATTTACATTTAATCGTACACCATGCACAATTGATTCGTAAAATATTATATATCAACATAATGATACAATGTACTTATAAAAACCTCTTAAAGATAAATAATCTGGAATAATAAATTGCAGATGTAATAGATACGTACATGCATTTCACGCGTAAAATTTAAAACTTATCCATATTCTTTGTTAAAATGTTTGCTGTGTGATCCAATATAAGCAAATATGTCAATGTTGATATACTTTCCTATATTTTTTTTTATTTTTTTTTCATTTTAATTACTTCTCAAATCGATGTTAAATGGTTAAAGAAGTATTTTATTTTATCAATAAAAGTAGTTTATTATCATAAATTTAATAAGGAACCTCACAGTGTAAAGATAGGAAACCCTACAATTTTTGACGTAAATTATTAATATTCCTAGAGAAGTGGAAATCGGAATCAATTCGTGTTCTCGTCAAATATAATAGAAATCGATCAAAGTTTGTCTGCTTCTTTTTATTGTTGATGTATCTGTTCTTTTATTTGGTGTTTAATGTTCATTATCTAACAACGCATTGGCGAACGATACAGAAATCGTTTAAGTTTACCAAAAGACTGAGAAGACATAAACATGTAAGCTTGTCTGCTTTAGTGACTTCATTCAATTTTCCCGGTGCAATAGATCACCATTAAACACCGAGTCTTTTCAAGTGCACATTTTGGCAAAAACTTAATCATGTTGATTATGCAACTTGTTTTTTGTAGGTACAATAAAAGACAGATGGAATGTATTACGCTTTCCCAGTGAATGTAATTATAAGCAAAAGACAAATAATATAAACTAATAATATAGCTCTGATGTTCAGGAAGTTTCTAATTTCGTTGACACAATTAAATAACAAGAAGATGCTTTGTCTATTCTTTCGGTGCTTTCAATTAAGATTAGAGGTCGACAGGAACGCTCATAGCTTCGGAGGGAAAAGACATATGATTCGAAATGCCGTCACAATGTAAAATCTAGACCATTCCGAATGAGCATATTTACCGATGGAAGCCACCCCATATAACTGTAGAATTTATTGTTGCATAATCATAGATTTGAACCCGGTAAAAAGGAAGAATCTTCCTTTACAAATAGAGCGTCTTTGATTTCAAAGGGCGCTGGTTCTAAGAGTGTGAGTCACATGTGTTTACCATTTCATGGTTTAATTTGGTTGTTTTGGCAACAAAGAGCTGCTAAATATATAACACACCTCACTCTGCTCCTTCTCTAATGCAAGTTACAGCCACGAAAAAACGTATACTCGTATATCCAAAGGAATGAATTACATGTGTACGATCATGGACGGAAGAGGCCTGGTGCAAGTACATGTTAAGGATGTTGATCTTAAAATCACACGTGGTGACCTAGATAAGAAATTAAAGAGGTTGACACTTCAAATAAAATTCATAAGTTTATGATATTTACATCGCTCTGCCGCATGTTTAAAATATTTGAACGTTATCTGTAACATTGCTGATGATGAAGAACCAGGTTATTTTCGAAACACAGAAAACTTTTGTTTCAAAAGCAAACTCACTTGCTAAACAAATATTTAAATGTTATTAAATGTGCTGTTGCCATACTGTTGCCATTATTTGTATGATATTACTTCATCTTAAATTACAAGTACTTTATTCCTTGTAACTTTTCCTCCCTTATACGGCCATCTTCAATACCCATCTTAAACGAGATTTACTTTAATTTCAATGAAATATTATCACAAAGGAATATGGCGAGCTGGCGGTAAGGGTTTGAAGTGGTGCTTGGATTGGAGAAGTGCCCTCGTCGTGTGATATTGTAACATACGGAAATCGTTGACAGGCATAACTGGAAGCCGTCAACAGATTGGCAGCAAAGATAGCAACATGTCTTTGCTCGTTTTAGTGGCAATTAAATTCATCAACTTGAATACAAGCGGACATTGCCTTTTTTATCGACATCTATGTAACCTTTATTTTTCCTTGGAACTTATTTGATAAGTATCACTGACTGATCAACGTGGTAAATAACGAGTATATTAATTAAATAGGTCTGACTCCTGTCCCTAAACGATGTATGTCAAACACGTAATGTAACACTTTTACTGTAGAACTGAGATGTTACTCATTAAAGGGAAATCCTAAATTGGTTCGAGATACCGATCTGTTCAAAATTGCATGCTAACGTTCGTCTTATGTCAACTCTTACTTAATGGCGTCTTGTTTCGAATTGCTTTCGCCTCTTTCATTAACATATTTCAATCGTTTTTCGGTGAATCATTTTCGTCAATAGGAAAATTCTCATAAAAAAATGTTTAACAAGACATTTCAGCTGATGTATGAAAGATGCCGTATAGCGTGGAATTTCCTAGGTTGAAAGGTTTATTTTTCCTGACACACTTACACGGAGATAATAGTCAATAGCCCTAAGTATATCTCTATCAGAACGGAAACAAAACAAATTTCATTTTTCATGGATCATGGATCCTTTATCATTTTAGGCCACGCAAATAATACCTCCCCGAAATATAAAAGTTTTGCAGTACTTAACCAGTCAGCACGTCATCTGAGGCACTCTGACGACTGAAGACAGGTGATCTAAGAGAAATATGTTCGGGATTAACAATGAAGACTTTCGGCCGATTGTGCCTCTAGATGATATACAACTTACTTATATAGAGTTTCAAGAGGGGAAGCGTCAACATATGCAATGGCAACATTTGTTCATGATGACTGTATGTTCAACTTAGGTATTTCGGTATCTAGCAAGATCAATGACAGTCTCTTAGATACTTGGACCAACTGAAATACTTGGACTTGACAAAAGTCATCATGATTATTGCCTCATGTGAAACACATTACACGTTCCAAAGACTTTGATTTCACCTTAAGGTTTGTTTGGTTTATGATAAATCTCTGTTTGGTGAAGAGTGTTGTTGATTCCAGTTTCATGTTCCGAACCTAAGTTTCTTATATATCCTTGTATGCTTAAGCTGTAGTATATTTTATATTTACTTAAATAATGAGTTAAAGTCCAAAACCAATGCTGTTGTTCAGTTGTGACGTAAGTTACCATAATAAGTTTGAAAATCATTTGTTACAGAGAAATAATACAGTTTGTCTAACAGAAAGCACGAACATATCGCAGCCTCCCAAAAAACACACACATACACTACACACATGCATCTTGCACACAGGGGAGGCCGTCCTTAAATGACCTTAGCTGTTAATAGGACGTTAAACAAAATCAAACAAACAAACAAACTAACAGAAAGATAAAAAGGCATTCAGAACGATTTCTTCAACAGCTTTTGTTAGATACTGTATCTGCTTGTATCATGTCCAACTAGAAGATAGAGACACATTTAGAAATACTGTATTTAATACATATTTCTAGATAATGTATTTAATACTTATTTCTTGATATTGCATTGGGTACTATCGTTTGTCTTATTTTTATATTCTTCATCAGCTAATGGTTTGGTAAAAACCAAGATTGCCAGCGTCAGCGCAGTGTTGTAACATTGTTCATAAACCATTGGCATTCGGAAAGGATGAGCAATACCAATAACCTCTGGAATAGTCGTTTTATGATATGCTTGATACATAATATTTGACATTAACAACGTTTCTATGTTACACTTCCTTCAGAAATGTCTATGGTTTTGATTGGTCTCGTATGCGTAACATTGTTCCGTCAGCAACACTCACGACATTTGGCATCAAATCCGCTATTTGGAAAAAAAAATGATTCATGATACATTTCGAGTCAGCTTCACAGATTTTCCGAAGTGTCTAGGACGTTAACAGTAATAAATCACTATTTCAAATTTATCTTAATTTGATTCAAAACGCGCACATGTAAGATTCTGAGATGACCTTGCTGTACATGAGACTAGAATTATTTATGATGAATGATATAGGTCTCAGCTTAAATGAAGTTCGTTAGAATTTTTTAAAAGGTCTATACAGTTAAAAGCATTGCATCTTAATGGGAATCGGGGACAAAGGGCGTTGAGAACAAATTACACAACTATACAACTTAAGACAAGAAATGTATTCTTCTTCATCTATTTCACATTTATTATTCCAGTTGTATTTTTTGTATATATTTTTTTCTTTTTTCTTGTTAATTTTTTTTGCGTAAGTTCCACTTATCGACACGTTCACGTAAAGTGTTCTCTGATTGCATTTGTACAGGTGTGAAATCCCATACACAGGAATCAGGTGTGAAATGATAGACGTGGACTATCTGATGACACAGATGAACACTCGGATGAGCGATGAACACAGGACTCATTTCTCTTTCGGAGTAAGTAACCTTCTTACCTACAATGCGTCTTCTTCACATGTTAAAGCAAAGCCTGTAATACCCTAGCAAATATTGCAAAACATCTTAAAATTTCTAGGATGACGTAAAAAATGAAAAAAACAACAGAATATCGAAGTTTCAAGAAAACCGCAATTCCAACTTAAATTTGATAAGGAAATATTTACACGAGATTCTTGAAAAAGTACAGGGAAATAAGACCAGGCGCTCCGGAAGGCTTGCGTCTAAAAAACAAATAAAGAATTAACAACAGTAGGCAGATTTCATAAACATACAGTGAATCGAATTTGTACTCTTCAAAACTTATGAAATGTTATCAATATCGTACTACTTATTGAATACGTTTACGCGATAAATATAACAGGCAGCCTCACACAATGTTATAGGACATAATGATAATTGAATTAAATGCATTAAGGTACCACAACCAAAAAACCTTCTGCTTGTTAAACGATATTTGAAACATCTGGCTCCTATTTAACTAGAGAAAAGCTAACCGTTCTCTTTCCAATTTCGCCTTGCTTTTTCATAACGGTATGTGTACAATCCCACTGCAAGTTCCTCTATAAGCGTAACCAGACGAAGTTGCGTTCATAGATGATGAAAGCAATTTGATCAGCATCATTTTGAAGTTTCTCCTCCCACGTCAAATAACCGTCAGAAGCAAACATTAAGGTGGTATTGGGATGTTTTAGGAAGCTCGTTTGCACTGAAGACACATAATTTTGATATCTAAAATATAAGGGGATATTTGTATATTTAGGTCTCTAATAACTTAACATTTAGAATGTAAGGATTGAACGGCATTTACTTATTGTCATGCTGTTGTAAACACTGAAAAAAGCCCGTTCAATCCTTATATCTTCATATAATTGTGTTTGTATGACCTCTTTGCACAAGGATGTACGCTAAAGTTATTGCTTCTCCCGGTAAACAAACTGTTATACTAATTTGCATATTTATTTGGCAATATCTGTCACCACTACGGCTTATCTGAAACACCGATCAAAGCTTGTGCGTTAGCACATGTCCGATAATCGGGCAAAGAACATTCAGTGTAAGTCTTGAAACCTCCTTTAGACATACTGCGAGTTATAGTTATACTAAACAAACCTTTCAAAGACGATAAAACAAAGCAAGGGAAAAAAATTAACAAACAAAATATTTAAACAGAGGCCCCTGAAATTGTACAAGGATTAAAAAAAAATGCTTTTCGGGAGTTGTCGTTAGAGATTTTTGGTTTTCCTGATGCATTAAGATATCCCAAATTTCATTTTTACATGAACAATCCTTAAAATCTTGTGACAAGATTCAGTGGAAATGGCTTGTCTTAAGTGTTCTCTACGGAAGTATTAAGCATACTTGAATTGGTACTTTATCGGGAAAAACAGTTTCCTCAGGAATGGGCCATACTAAAATACTAAAATGATTTTACGTGTCTTATAACTGCATTCTCAAAATATACCTCAAACATTCTTCGTCACTGCATGACGTTTAAGAGAAATGCTACCACTAAATCTGACAAAAGTAACAAATTTCAAAACCGATTTCCCATTAATTTAGATAATATAACTGCGGTGTTATGGATCTAAGAAACTAAACATGGGATCATATCTAGGAATATGATATCTGGATATGGTTTTTATGGTTGAAGCATGCACCATAATCCATTTATGAGAATCATATTTCCCCTCCTACAACCAGTAAAAGACCTGAATGTGTTTGATATAGATATTATAGGGAGATAATACTTTTTATAATCCTAGGAATGAGCCGTTGTTTCTACATAAATCAAGTACATTTAGATCAAATTCCCACGTTAAAAACACAAAAACATGGAACGGAACATTTATTAACTTTTATACCTTTTTGTTCCTATTTGTACCGGTAATAAAAGTATCTATCACATATCCTAATAGTAACATCGTATTGCATTGCTTTGATAAAGGCATAGTGCCACTAAGGTTGTTTATGTCTTAATCGTATGTTTCGAAAAGAACGCATTCGATAGCATTACATTTGTAATATCATTAACAATTAGTTTAGGAAAAAAACGAATCAATGGCAGAAATGAACTTCTTTATTGATAAATTGATACGCATACTATCAATCAGCCAATAACTTAATACAAATAGAAATAGTTGCTAATCATGTAATGCTTTATTACATTATAAACATATTTTTCATGAACTTCTAACGTATCTGTGTTTGTGTTAAAAACAGTGATCATCGGAATATTGTGTTACATATGTAATAACCGAGGTTATATTTATAGTGTATAATGTAATTGTTTAGCATTGTTTAATATCACATATCTATATATTGATGTTAAATAGGTCCATCTATGCATGATTCTGACAATGAGGGTATCGCTATAGTGTTGATAAATTTGGTCATAATTGAAGCGTTTGGTGATGTTTTACAATTGTTAATTATTATGTATCTGTATATGATGCTGTTAAATTGAAATTGAGCCATATTTGTAGTATATGAATGATGTTTTACCATTGTTTATTACCTTGTTTCTACATATAATGCTGATAACTAGGGTCATACTATTAGAGAATTGGTGATGCTATATCAATTATCTATTTCCATGAATCTGTCATCACAGCTATTGTATTCCCATTGTTTACAACAATATGTTCCTCTCGTTTCAGTGGCACGGCTGATAGTAGCTGTATCAGCTCATCAAGCATACTAATGGACTTGTCACGTGACTTGTGGGTGATTGGCGCCAAAAGTGGTGGTGGTGTTGGTGGTGGAGGAAAAACAACTCCAGTCATTCTTTTTACAGAGTGTTTACAGGTAACACAGTTGATAAAGACAGACAATTGGAGTTATTGAATCTTTCATTTCATATACGGCATAATACATCCTACAGGTGTATTAACGTTAGTACCGTTGTGTGAGGCCAGGGTGATACATTAATGTGCCGCACATGCGCAGTGTTTCCAGTGAATGGAGTTGCAACACATACAGGTTTACGGTGTAACCTAGGTAACCATCTACTCATTTCTCGGCATATGAGAGATATTCTACCGTGAAATATGGTTTTCAACCAAATATCCCGTTCCTATACAGGGAACACACACTGTGACGGACGCTGAAGTTTCGACAGCTAAAGTTGTTCTCGGAACATTATCCCTAGGTCACTTTCATTATCAAAGAGTCGACGAGGATCCTCCTGGCAAACCTAATGCATTTACTTTCCATCCAAGCAGACCTTTGTCTGATGTCTTGTCCTGGATGTCAGAGATCACGAGAGTGATGGTAGCGCCGTGTATAGTTATCTCCCCTTCGAACGTTGCATCTTCATTCCTATCCCTGTGATAATGTCGTGATGCGTGAGCGGATGTGCTGTCCTTGACCAAACCATATAGCGTCATCAAACATAGCAAAAATTATTCCAAGTGTTTCGTTGTCTGTCATCGATATAAATTAAGTCGATATGACAGCTGTATTATCTGTTCTATCTTTTAAAGAAAATGTTACTTTTAAACAGAAAAGAGTTTCATTTTGACATCATACTTCTTTATCAAAAGATTTTATGGTCAAGGTTACAACACAGCCTTTCTGAACCTGGCAATATCTTGGATGTGAACTCAAGGAGACAGATGATAGGCAAACCTATCATACACATTACACCTAGTCGATCATGGAGACATACCTAGGTACAGCGCTTACAGTGATATTTCACAGACGTGTCGCCGCCCTTTTAAGTCTAGTGGAACTTTATTGTATTAAATCATCAAACCAAAATAATGATAAGACTGGAATTTAAAATCATATAGAACATACTTATACTTACTTACTGTCAGATCTATGTGAAATGTAATCATAAGCCTATATATAAATAATACTTCGGATTACTTATTTTATAATGGAAAATAACCAAGGGAAGTCGATTATCGGCGGGCACAAAACGGATTTATCAGCCCATGAGAATTATATAACCTATCAACCGACTAGTTTTGGATTCAATCCATAAAAAGCTGAATAGATATCGACTGAAAACCATATTGAATTTAGCGTTAAAGTTTTCTATTTACAATCCATTGCAGTGAATGTACGAAACTGTGTCTGTGGCGTTATTGTTGCATTGTGTTGTCCTTATTTATGACGCCATTTGGCATTGTTGGTGGTAGTAAACCCCTTAATTGGATATCTTGAATAAAAATACCAGCGGAGCACAGCAGATTCTTGTATTGTATATGCTCTGTGCGGTGCCTTTATCTCTCACTGCTGCAACTCCCCCCTCAAACTGATCGTATTTGGTAGTTAAATGGGTAAAGAAATGTCTTTTTAATTGTATATACTAAAACATATTAAAATATAATAGGTTTATTTAATTTTGAGATATAAGTATAATATCAAAATATATAATTATTATGGTATTACAAAACTTCAAAGCAATGCTACTTTCATTATATAACTTTGAATGATATCAACGATGGATATCTCGTTACAAAGAAATTGTTCAAATTGTTTTTGATCTCACAAGCGCATTCGGTATTAAATATGTCGTTATGTATTCAAGCATATTTGTTAAGACCAACCAATATAAATGCCGGAGACCGTCTTAAAATCAAATTTTATTCATGTGCTATTCATTGTTTCGATCGATATAAATGCGCCCACAACTATTTTACAGAGGTTCCCCAGTTAGTGATAATTGGTTATCATGTCTGCCTAACTCAAGTTTTGGGGTCTTTTTTCCCCCACAACATTCAGATATAAATTCTAAAATGCAATATGTTTCTCTTGTGAATGCATTTTTCTTGTTTACGATCAGGCAAACAATTACCATTGACCATGACAATTGTAGATGACGTCACAAAACATTGAAGATTGACCAATGAAATCACGTTCGGGCTTTATACACAACTCATTGCAGGTTTATGCGATGAGTCGGGAGTGAGGAAACTGAGTAGGATTTTGGGAGAAAAAATAGTTATATGCATGGTGGTTCCAAAGTCAAGTTTAACTAGATACATTTTTGATGTACTTTTAGCATATCCGATTTATCGTCAGATTTCTTGTTCAGCGAGAAACATACTTTTCTTCTTATTGGAACTATAGCGTTATCTTACGTAGAAATGGTAGCTCAGTGAGTCGTACAAGCAGATACAGGAAGACCTGAGCAATGGTCGATTGAAAATCAAAAAGTACAGCAGAATATATGTTATATATATATCTTGTCACTTTAAAATAGCCTTAAGTGTTCTTGTTATTGGTTTTGATTCGCCTGTACCGTATTTAGTTGTTTGACAGAAATTTATCCATTTCCTGGTATACGACTTACCATAAGTTACAAATAATGTAGTTACAAATAATTAACTATACGGCTTTGCATTCGTAAAGGGTTGTGAGTTCGACGATTAAATTTAAAGGAATATTTATATATTTGCATCGTGTATTGAAATAATGGGGTTATATTATATCACTTTCACCAAACATTAATCAAATAATACTAAATTGAAGGTATGACGCAACCTAACCTGATCACCCGAAATATTACCCGCGCCAACCGATATCCAGATCTTTTCAGAGTTTTGATACATAAACCTGATCGTAAAGCACCAAATAGTAAGAGTGATAGAGAAAATGAATTGGTTTGCGTTAAACGTGATAAAATTGTCGCGGTATCTATCAATTAAGGCTGATAATAAAGTTAAAATGATATTAAGTGATGTTATACTAAAAACCAAATAATGTTTTATCTGCTCTAAACGATAAAAATGATTTTTAAACGAAATTACTATAGTTTGTATCCTCACGTTGAAACTATATAATAAATACGTATGATCTGTATAAGATCAAGTTATATATAATTATTCAAATGAACGGAAAACAATCTATTGATGATTGATTGAAAGGGACGTAGATGAAAGCGAGGCGTGTGTAATCGAGAGCGAAAGGTGAGTGCGACAGACTGGGCGTGCGTTTCATTGTGAGAGCCTCCCCCTTAGGAGGTATGCTGAGGATAGACTGGTCGTTATGTTTGTATTCATATCAGGTAATTTAAGAATTCGATGTATATACTAGATAATGTATTTTTGTTACACAATATAGACGAAATGACTGACTATTTTTATCAGGATTGCGATGTTCAGAGTCTGGTTACTGTAACCATATTACGAGGGAAGAAAACAAAGAAAGATTAGTATAACTGTATCTTGATAAAAGGAAATAACACCAACCACGCTGGTAATTATATCATCATATTTCCAATGTTAGAATGCAAAATATTTTCGCATTGGTTGTTTGATACACCAAAACCTGAAAGCAGAAACAAAGTTTGATACATTCATTAATATGGTAACTAACCTCACTTAAAACATCGGGTCTATATATATGGATGTATAATTATCTTTCTGGGATCATTTACAGTTCGTCTGACGCCTTGTTACAAACTTCTGTCACCTGTTTCTCAGGGTTCCCTGTGTTAAATGTGAATTTCTCCGTATCTGAATAATTATATGAACTTGGTTTCGCCACATCAAATCGCTGACATCATTATGATCATTTCTGATGCTATAGATAATAATATATATATCATGTAAATATGTAAACATCAGACACCGAGGTATACGAAATGAGCTAGAATGTTGACATAACTAACTAGATTGTTAAGCAGATGTAATCAAAATAACAGGACAGTTATATATTTCAGTGATGTATGTATTTTTGTTTTAAAGGTTTAAGGGAGAATAAAATATAAGATGTGAAAACAGGTGTTTGTTATTTTCCGCATGTAGTCAGTGTTCTTATATCCTTTCGGAATATCATCCAATATAAAAATCGTGTTTTAAAAGCTTCGTTTGGGAGACTACCTCTCAAGAAAGGCTAAATGGAGTTTGAATAAATTTGTTTAAACAAAGGACGTTTAATGTTGTATGATTAAAGGATGTAGCCTGCATAGAGAAAAGATGTGGAGTCTATTAAAGAAAATGGGGATATCAATTTGAAAGACCACTCCCTAACGACAAGTAAATTGATAAAAAAAACAGGGCTTAAATAGAGGTAATAAAGATTAGGCGTGCCCATCCATCCCCTTTGAAATAGTGGTTGCATATGGATCTTCAACGATTAAAACATTATTAAAATCATTACTGAAGAACAGCTACTTGCAATAGCCAGAGAGTAAACTACATTTTGATCTGCTGAATATAATACTCAAGAAAGTCTTTGATCTTTGAACATCAATGTGTAGTTATACATTATTTCAGGTCTTTCAAGTTCATATATGTAACCGGCCAACTTTGATACACGTGTATACCGATCTGCATAACCACGATCAGTGCTAATAATGACGACGTATTTCCAGTGAAAAGCTACAAAAAAGTAATAGGAATAATCACTTAAAACTTAATTACGTAAAACACGATTTAAGTAGAACACTTGTATACAGTAAATGTGTCTCAGGTAAAACAAATTACTTCAAATCGAGAAACCGTAAAAGTAATAATAATATAATGTGGGGTAGCCTTTTACATTGTTAAGTTTTATATGTATTGACGTCCTTTTAACAGATTTTTTGTCCAGTCGTAATTGTTATCCTACCACCAATAAATGTTATTCCCATTATTAGTTCAAGAATAATGTTATGCCTAACTTCGGTGCAGGAATGACATTACCAAAACCAGTAAAGGAATGTAACCTCTATCACGAGCAGAGGAATGTAATCCCGACTGTCAGTACATGTTTATAGAATAATCTTTACAAGGAGTTCAACACGCTAAACAAGTCAATGTGTTCTAGAAGCAACAGCGTTTTTAATCTGTCATTGTTATAGGAATATCAGTTGTTGTATTTATCACGAAAGCATTTACATGTGTGCTTGATGTCACATCAGTGCCAGTGATGAAGGTATCCGTCGTCATACAAGACAAGCTTTCAATAACTTTAAGGAAAGCATTGACCTTATTGTAGGATATGAAAATGTATCGAGCAGTAGGCGAGGCAGAATTTCAATACAAATGACAAGGGTATCAATCAGAATGTGAGACAGCATTTCAATACAAATGACGAAGGTATCAATCAGAATGTGAGACAACATTTCAATACAAATGACGAAGATATCAATCAGAATGTGAGACAACATTCCAATACAAATGACGAAGGTATCGATCAGAACGTAAGACAACATTTCAATACTAATGACGAAGGTATCAATCAAAATGTAAGACAACATTTCAATACAATGACGAAAGTATCAATCAGAATGTGAGACAACATTTCAATACAAATGACGAAGATATCAATAAGAATGTGAGACAACATTCCAATACAAATGACGAAGGTATCGATCAGAACGTAAGACAACATTTCAATACTAATGACGAAGGGATCAATCAGAATGTGAGACAACATTTCAATACTAATGACGAAGGTATGAATCAGAATGTGAGACAACATTCCAATACCTATGACGAAGGTATCGATCAGAACGTAAGACAATATTCCAATACAAAAGACGCAGATATCGATCAGAATGAGAGACAGCATTTCAATACCAATGACGAAGGTATCAATCAGAATGTAAGACAACATTCCAATACAAATGACGAATGTATTAAGCAGAATGTAAGACAACATTCCAATACAAAGGACGAAGGTATTGATCAGAATGTGAGACAAAAATTCAATACAAATGACGAAGGTATCGATCAGAATGAGAGACAACATTTCAATACAAAGGACGAAGGTATCGATCAGAATGAGAGAAAACATTTCAATACCAATGACGAAGGTTTCGATCAGAATGAGAGACAACATTTCAATACAAACGACGAAGATATCGATCAGAATGAGAGACAACAATTCAATACCAATGACGAAGGTATCGATTAGAATGAGAGACAACATTTCAATACAAACGACGAAGATATCGATCAGAACGAGAGACAACATTTCAAAACTAAGGACGAAGGAATCGATCAGAATGTGAGACAACATTCCAATACAAATGACGAATGTATTAAGCAGAATGTAAGACAACATTCCAATACAAAGGACGAAGGTATTGATCAGAATGTGAGACAAAAATTCAATACAAATGACGAAGGTATCGATCGGAATGAGAGGCAACATTTCAAAACAAACCACGAAGATATCGATCAGAATGAGAGACAGCATTTCAAAACAAACGACGAAGATATCGACCAGAATGAGAGACAACATTTCAACACAAATGACGAAGGTATCGATCAGAATGAGAGACAACATTTCAAAACAAACGACGAAGATATCGATCAGAATGAGAGACAACATTTCAACACAAATGACGAAGGTATCGATCAGAATGAGAGACAACAATTCAATACAAATGACGAAGATATCGATCAGAATGTAAGACAACATTCCAATACAAACGACGAAGATATCGATCAGAATGAGAGACAACATTTCAAAACAAACGACGAAGATATCGATCAAAATGAGAGACAACATTTCAACACAAATGACGAAGGTATCGATCAGAATGAGAGACAACATTTCAATACCAATGACGAAGGTATCGATCAGAATGTAAGACAACATTTCAATACAAATGACGAATATATCAATCAGAATGAGACAGCATTCCAATACAAATATCGAAGGTATTAAGCAGAATGT